GTTTAAAAATTTTTGGTAGAGTTTCCCCGTTCTCCGCATAAGTATTAAGGGAACAAAAACTTTAATATTTTTTCACTTTTTTCCTCCTTATCTGATATTCGTACCTAAAAGACAGGCGACTTGTTCATTTTGTTTGATTTCGGCTCTAGTCTGCATTAGTAATGAATTTTAAAAATTTTTGATTTGTACAATTTTCTGTTTTTAACCTGTGATGTTTTTAATTATTTGTATTAACGACCTATGTCCGCGGTAGGTGTACCATGTTGGCTAACTTCTATGTAATTCTCGCATAGTAAGTAATTTTTTAATTGACTAATTTTAAGAAAACTTCAACTTGTATTTTATTGTAGTTTTTTCCTGATGAAGAAACAAAATATAGTTTCGAAAGCTTGAAAATTTAAAAGAGTGTAACTTTTTTTTATCCTTGGCTGCATCCCCGTCTAAGAAAGAAATTTGGTTTTTAACTTAGACAGCCGTCTAATTTTTGGCTTTATATATAATAAAGTTAGTATTTTCGTAGATTTCTGTACCTAAAACCTTAATGGTTTGATCGTTTTTTGCACCTGTTTATTCGTTTTGCTGCGGTGTCTTTGAAAATACCCAGATGGCATGAAATAACATTCCTATTATTTGATAAGCTTTAGATTATTCAGTTAATAAATGATTGAAATTATTTGTCTTTGTGGAAAACACTATTTCAATAATATGGCGCCCTTAAGATTATCCCGACTCCTTAAATATTATACTCAGAGACGTCTTTTTATATCCTTGGTACGGTCATCATATTTTTTTGCATGTTCATATAAACTTTTTCTCAAAATTTGACAAGACGCAAAAACTTACCATTATAGAATATAAATTAGAGCGGCATAGGCATACGAACAAAAAAATTAATGTGTATATTTAAGGTAGTGCGGACATAAAAAATAACACCATACCTACATATTATGTCTTTATAAATTCAAGAAATATATTATTATTAATAAAATTCAAGATCTTATTATGAAACAAAAATCTCATACAATGGGTTCAGATGGTATTTCTGGCAAAATGCTTCAGTTGTCGTTTAGATGGGTATCGGCCCCACTTACACACTAAATTTAACTAATAAATTTTTCATCAGAGATTGGTCAGTTACCGGAACAATGGAAAGTTGCTTGTATTAGACCATTACCAAAAAAGAAAAATCCAAAACAGTTGAAAGATCTGCGTCCAATTAGTATGTTCTCTATTCCTCTTAAGATTGCTGCTTATTTTTGATCAATTGTTTAAATATTGTTTTGAAAATTCAATAATTCGTATAAATCA